CCCCCCCCCCCCGTCGACACCTTTTTTGGTAAAAAGTTTTCCAGACATGACTATTGCTTTGTAGCACTTTTCCCGATTTCCGTATCACTTTTTCCGATGCTTCACCACAAAGATTCCGACAATAGTGACAATTTCCGACGGGTCTCAACTTGAAGCTATATAATCAAGGATTCCCTTTTTTATTGCTGCGTACGGAGCGAGCCTGAAGCGAGCGAGCGAAGCAGCATTCTAATATGTGCAGAGAGGGGGTTTTGAAGTAAATTTTATTTAGCGCATTGTATTGTAGTCGTGTGCACTTGCTATGCGCAGAACACAAAATAACGTACGACATACAATATTTGAGGCGTATTTGAAGGATATCGTTTATTAGTATTTTTGCGCAAGTGAACATAACAAATCCTACAATGTGGTTGGTCAAATTTGGCGCATTAATCTGTTATATTCACCTATAGGTGAATGTAACAAAATCGAAATTTGAAGATGGTTGCTAGCCGTTTTGTTGAAGTTAGTGATAAAGAAATACGCGAAATTAAAATGAATTCAGACAAGAAAAACACAAAAAAACTTGTGTAAAAATACTAAAACAATTATTTGTCTCAGGCTCGGTGATTATCGGGGAATAATATTCACCCCGAATAATTGTTAATTGTTTTGCTTGCTTCGATTTGTAAATGTTTTGACTCAGACTCAGGCACTCAGCGTAAGGTTTAGTAAAGTTTTAAGCCCTGTAAAGGCCATAATTTAGTGTATAAAATAACGTGACTGCACTTCGTGCGTTGTTCACTCAATGGACTTTGACCACTGTAAGTTCTATATTTTAATTTATTACAAAGTTTTGGTTTCTTAGTTTAATACTGTGTATAGAATGTGGTAAATGCGCCATTAGACTTAATAATATGAAATCAGATAGCAAAAACTTGTGTTATATAATTCACCTGTACGTCTTAAGAATGCTTTGTCGTTTGTATTTATACGCGTCGCAGCGCGTATTAAATTCAACAAATTCGACTTGATCTTGAAAATGGTATATATTCTTGCTTGTGATTTAGTGAATATTACTTCTATAATCATTAACATCAACATTAACGCGCCTATCTGTAATCTGTGATTGCTCTTGAACCCGTGCATGGTGTTGGCAACAAATGCATTGCTTTTTCTCAAACACTTATGGCATGAATCGATTTCGTATTCTTTAATTTAAGCTCCGACCACAGTGCTCACAAGTCGCCAGCTCGCTGCGAGTAATAACTGCTCTTGATGCCCGCAGCAATCCCTACCTTGCAGGTACCCTTGCTAGTAAAATACATTTTATCAGTGGGACCCAAAATTTTGCCAGGGGGGGGGGGCAAAATTTTGCCAGGGGGGCCGGGCCCCCCGGCCCCAGCCCTGGCTACGCCTCTGTGCCACCTCCCCTCCGTCGTCCAAGTTTAGCCAATTACATTTATAACTAAAACTTTTGCCTAATGATTGTGGTTTTGTCTTCAGTTACAACCCAATACTTTATTGCATACAATGGCATTACAACGCCAATAGATTATTGGTTACAACGTGCGGAACGGGTGAAATGGAAACTCAAGAGGAAATGAGCCGCAATTTTTGGTCAGCGTCGACAAATTGCCTACCTGTTTAGCACGTCGAGAATAGTGTGCTGCTTCGCTGCGCTCGGCAGCAACAAGCATATCATATCGCTCCATTGACATTTGGCAGTAAAAATAACTGTTTGCCTTTTAGAACTACTTAAGGTGGCGATCCCAGTCCTCGAATTTGTCTCCACTCTAGAAATTTAGAAATTAGGTTAAAAGTATATTAATACTTTAAAAGTGTTTCTTTTTAAAGAAAATGGCCACCTGTTTGCTAATATCAGGATTTTGTTGTGGAAGTTATGTCAAAGTTTATAATGTGAATGAGGCAGCAGCTCGAAAAATGCCACAAATTTGCTGTTTAATTTTGGGAAAGAAATTATGGAAAACAGCAAGTTTCTGACTCAAATTCATACTTTGTCCTTTTTCTTTCTAAGATATTAATGAATGTGACGACACGAATACCTGTATTGGCGGTACATGCACAAACACTGTTGGTAATTTCTCATGTACCTGTAATGAAGGTTATATGAAGCAGGGAAATGCTTGTATAGGTAGGAATGGATGTATGTCAACATAGCGAGATTGTAAGCAATACCAAATCTGAATACTTCTGCACTGAATATATTAGGTAGCCGGCTTTACTCAGAGCGCTTCGCTTCCTGCGGATAATATCCAGGATCGTTACTTGGGTATTACGGCTTTGGGTGTGAGCTAGTTTTGCTCGACCTAAAGGGCGTGGCGAAAGTTGTGCCATTTCAGTTACTAATTAATATTTCCTTTCCCCCCAAAAAATTCTCGTTAAAATTGCTAAAGTTGCCCGACAAAACTGCAATATTACAACTTTTAGGGGAGTCGCAGTCCCCCCCCCCCGCCACACTCCCAGGAGTTACGCCACTGAGCATATATGGGTATTCATGATTCCTCTCAAATTTGCACGATTCTTGGCCCTTCGTTCGAAGTCTGCACAGCGAAGTCCTTGCTTTATCTAGTCCTTCAAGTCATTTTTTGCGTCTCTTCTCCCGGCAGCTGTTTCACGGTCAACCTCTACTTCTCTTTCCCTGCGGATTCTACGCCCGAGCCTGAGGAGTAGGCAACCGGCAAGCAAGTCGGTTCACTAAGTCCTTTAAGTCTTTGAAAATTTCATGAACGTATGTTTTTCAAATTGCTCCAAAAATTATACTTTAAAATATTTTTAACTTTAATATTGTATAAAGAAACTTATGCAGAAGCAAATTCGTAATCACTTGCATGCATTGAAACTCAAACACACGCGACTTGGGAGAACAATTTAATACAAGTTTTTAACTGTCAAAAGTCAAAATTTTATTCAAAATCTCTGTTATTTCGGGGGTTGCCACGTATTATTTTTCTTGTTTTCGACATTTTTTTGACACTGTACATCATAGTGGATCGTTTATAGCCATTGCGCTAACGATGCGCTGCTAATTTTGTGTTTTGGTCCTGGACTATCAATGAGTTGAAAATTTGATATAAATATGTTTGCTTTCTAGATATTGACGAGTGTTTGCAACCGAATATTTGTCCAGCTAATTCAAATTGTACCAACTTTCCTGGATTATACAATTGTGTGTGCCACCCAGGATATGGAGGCGCAGCTTGCAATGGTACAGTTCATTAATTCTCGTTTTAAATACTAGTTAAAATATGAACAGCTGATCTTCATGGGCGTTTAAATTCCCACTGAGATCAGATGCAAATATTTTAACGTAGCCTACTTGTAAAATGAATTTATTTGTTTACTTTATTAGCATTCACTACCCATTGGGACAATCTCACGCTTCATTAGCATGCATAAACAAGCACGGAATGTTTTTCCAGTCATGCACTGTATAACCTGAAGTTCAAGCCCTAATTTTAATTAGGGCCTGAGTTTCAGGTTATGTCTCTGCGTAAAGCACATTTTAAAATTTTATTTGCAGTATGTTTAAACAGGATATTAATTTTAATTAGAACAACTGTTACGAAACGAGACCTAATGAGACCAAATAATTTGACCATTTCACTGAGAAGAAATTAGCTATTCTTGTATTTCTGGCTACACAGGAGATGGAACAAGTTGTGAAAGTTAGTTTTCATTAAAATAGTTACATTCTTCGCGACTGCATGGTTATGCTATAATAGGATGGTACAGAAACTTACATTCGAAAATTCCAAATAGAAAAAATCCCCAGCAAACACCAGCAGCTCATGTCTTGGCTTTATGGCGCTTATATATTATGCAGTACAGGGCGCTTATATAATGGGCAGTGCAACGCGCTGATGTTGCGCTGATCGATGTGTGATGCGGAAAAAGACTGGCACGAGCGTTCTTTTCGTCAAAAGTTCACAAGGAACGTGATTTTTACTTCTGCTGCATAATTATGCGCTGTTTTTTCATTAACTACGAAATTCTTGAGGATCTTTTTGCACTGTAACTACGAAGTAGTGCTTGATTAGCCTATATAGTTGAACTTTAAATTAAATAAGTATTGAGGATAATGGCTCGTACTTTTGATAACTTCAACGAAGGGAAATTTTCAGAACGGCATTTGGGCATGTTATCAAGTCGTCCAAACTTCGAAATTCAGTTGATGATAAAAATTATAATTATGTGCTTTTCTCCAAAATTTTCCACAAAATTCGGAGTTGAGCGTACGTTTGAATACATAGCGTTGGAAAGTGAGGTACTTTTGCGGGTTAAATTTTGCCTCGTTAGACCACTTCGCTGCAACATAGGTAAACAACAATTATATTTTGGCCCTGTCATGATTTTTTGTTATCCCCGAACCAACGGTGCGGAGCGCCGTTCCGACATTAGGCTGGGGCGAGGGTTCTAATTCCGCACGGCTATTTACCCCCTGGGAAAGAAACACATTAGCGAAGTCTAAAGTTCATCAAAAATCGTGGGCGCATGACTGTGGTTTACCATTCATGGGTGGTTATCCTCACTGTATCACATGTCTCAAAATATAGCGGACTGCCTTGAATAGCAAACACTGGTAGGTCAAATTTAAAATTTGCATTATAACGACTGCATGACGACAGCGAAATAACAAACATTTCTTGCAAACATAAATATATTTCAATTTTGCAAAATTTTGTAAAATTGTTTGTAAATTTGCAAATTAAGTTTTTTGAGCCAAAACCAAAAGACTTGCTAAATGAAGGAAACAAAGACACCGACATTAATGAAGGTAAGTTTGTTTTAAATATTGATGTATTGCTTGCTATATAATTGCTTTCAAAACTGATCGTTGCCTATAAATAAAAATATAATTTCAATGCATATTTATTGATTACCTTTTTTGTTATCTCAATATTTTTAATAATGAGGAGTGCAAAGTTATTTCCATGCATGCGAGAAATCATTTTATTTCAAACTCCAAGATTGTCGATAAAAGTCAGTAAGAACATTTTAAAACAATTTGCAAAGCGTTAATTTGTGGTTCAAGCAATGGGTAACAAATATATACATTCGAATTAAATGTGAACAGATGAAAATTTGAATTTGAAAAGTGAACTTTACTTTTTTACCTGTTTCAGATATCGACGAATGCCAGGAAAACACGCATAATTGTCATAACAATGCCACGTGTTCAAATAATGAAGGAAGTTTCGACTGCCAATGTATCCAGGGTTACACAGGTGATGGTACAGATTGTACCGGTAAGTTTTATATAATACCAAAATAGACTAATAGATTCGTATGAGAAGCATTTTGACGGATGCGATTTATCGAAAACACAAAGAGTGCAATGGAGTAAAACGTATAGTACAATTTCACTCGCAAAGAATGCAATGGAACGTATTCCATTGCACTCTGGGGAAATTGAATTTTCTATTCAATATCACGTAACCATAAACAGCCAATTAAACGATCAGAATTCAATAAGGTATTAAATAAAATACGAGAAGGTCTGTTGTGAGGCTTTTGCAGACGCATGGATTGAGTTTCACCAACTACATTACAAACATCACAACAGCAGGTTTAAAATATAAGCAAAAATGGGAAGAATAACTTAGTTAAGAAGAGTAGTTTAGTATTCCCATGACCAAATCTTTGTCTAGCGGATGAAGTAATTATATAATATAAACAGTTGGATCTAACGCCAGTATTCTAAAACTCATTCACACTCAATGAGTGGAGGTTCAATCTGAGATTCTCTCTAGTGTCAATGCTGTTTTTAAATAGCAGTCACATAGTAAGTGTGGTGTTTTGTCTTTAGCTTCTTTATTGCTTACTAAAGTCGTTGCTTACAAACTGAACCAGGTCCCGTCCCTGGTGGTCATCCGGGTTCTATTATCTTACACACGTGATTAAACTATTATATAAACACTACATCCCTCCCAACTTTAAAAGAAAAGACCTATAAACATTAAACGTTCAGAACTAAAATTATGCAGTTCCATAAACTAACGTTACTTCGTGTCCGACCTTAGAGTCGCTTAAGTGGGAAAGACATATGTAAGTATAATGTGAACAAAACTAATAAAGTCTTATATAAAAACCTAAATTAACGTTCTCCGCATCATCAATGAAATTGTTCTCCATATCTGGTAGGACGCTTTCTCACTCTTCTGGAATAGCGAGATTCAGGGGCTTCGACTGCCGCTGCATCGGGTTCATACTCTTGTTGACCGGCGTCTTCTCCGTCACTCGCTTCTTCATCATCGCCATTGTCGCTGGGCGCTTTCTTAAAACACGAAGAATTTCTGGTGATCGTTGCGTTGTTATTCCTTGGTGTCACCATGGATCCTTTCTTCTGTACAACGACATATGAGTCAGGTCGGTAGGGTGTATCTCTCTTTCTCTTCGAATCGTCACGTTTGACGAACACTGTATCGCCTTCCTGGATTGTTGAGGGTTGAACATAGGTTTTGGAATCAGCATATCTCTTCATCCTCGACTTCGCCTTGCGATCATTTCCCTCAACTGCTGGGTCTTGCAAAGTCTTTTTCAACTCAGGTAACTTTGTTTTTAGTGCCCAACCAAACAATGCGGTTGCTGGGGGAATTTTTGTCGTTGTGTGAGGAGTTGCTCTGAAATTTCTGAGGAAACGATGCATCTCTTGTTTCCAGTTCTTGTGCTCTACTGTCGCCGTCTTGACCACCTTCTTTATCGTTCTCACGAATCGCTCGACCTCGTCATTTGCTCTTCGCCATCGAGGGGTGATATTTCGATGCTTGAAACCGAGAGTCTGCGCAAACGACGAAAATTCACGGCTTTTAAAAGGGGGTCCGTTGTCTGTCTTTACTACGTCAGGTATTCCAAATTCAGAGAACACTTTGTCTACCCTCGGAATCACCGTGTTGCCAGAAGTAGACTTGACCGTTTCGACGACCGGATATCTTGAATAGTCATCTGTAATTATCAGGAGATACTCGCTGTTTGGAAGCTCCGCGAAATCCATGCTAACTTCTGACCATGGGGCTTTCGGTAGTTGAGACATTTTGAGAGGTTCACGTTTAGACTCTGGAGTTGAGATCAAACACGCACAACATGACTCGACTTTCTTTTCTACCAATTCTTGTCGATGCCAGGGAACCATACCTTTTCACGCAGAAGTGACTTTGTCTTCACAACTCCTTGGTGTCCCTCATGTGCTAAGTTTACTACGCGCTCTTGTAGTTTTCTGGGAACAGCTATTCTTGTTCCTCGAGGAATTATCTGGGCTGTCACACCTACTGACAACTCCTCTTTTACCTTCTGCCACGCGGTATAAGCTACGCTGTCCACATCCGATTGCTTAGGTCCTTCTTGCCAATTACCTGTCTCGATTGCCTTGGATACTGCTTGCAAGGTCGTATCAGCTTTGGTAGCTTCTTTAATTTCCTGGACCGTTAGTGCTTTTGGGGTTGAGGTCACGGTGATGTAATTAACGTACTCTTCTGCGATCTTCTGTTCTCGGCAAACTGTGGCTGGTTGTTTGGAGGGGTGGCGTGACAAGTAATCTGCGGGGTTTCCTTTTCGGTAACGGACTGTCAGTTGGTAAGGCTGAAGTCGGAGAGCCCATCTCTCTACTCTTGCAGGAGATTTAGAACTTGGGTTGCCATAGATGGACACTAGAGGCTTGTGATTGGTATAGATTGTCACAGGCTTTCCGTATATGTACAGATGAAGATATTCACAGGCCCAGACGACGGCAAGGGCCTCGCGTTCTATCTGGCTTTACAGCTGCTTTGTCTCAGACAAGGAACGACTGGCATAGGTGACGATGTGGTGGGTACCGGTCTTTCTGTCCACTTGCGAGAGAATGGCAGCTAATCCAACAGGACTGGCGTCGACCGAGACTTCAGTATCTTTGGTTGGATCAAAGTATGCAGTAACCGGTGCATTCACCAAGGCTTCTTTCAGTTGGTCAACCGCGCTGTCGTGCTGCGATGTCCACTCCGAAGGTTGATCCTTGTGGGTCAGCTTGCGTAATGGGTCGGTCTTGGTTGCATAGTCCGGGATAAATCTGGAACAATAATTGGTCATTCCCAATAGGCTTCGGACTTCGGATGCAGATGTTGGTGTCTGTAGGTTGACGATGTCGTCAATTTTCTTAGGGTCTGGTGCAATACCATCTCCTGAGAAGACATAACCATAGAACTCGAGCTTGTCTTTGCCATACTCGCACTTGTGCTTGTTCAAAGTTAGACCGCGTTCTTTGAGCCTCTGGAAGACCGCTTCCAGACTGTGATCATGGGCGTTCTGCGTCTTTCCAAACACCAGAATGTCGTCGCTAATGTTGAGAGCTCCGGGGATGCCTTCGAGAGTTTCACGAATAACATTCTGAAAAATTTCGGCTGCGCTCGAAATGCCAAATTTTGATCTCTTATATCGCATTAGTCCCAGATGTGTGCCAAAAGTTGTGATATACCGTGACTCTGGCGCTAACTCGAGTTGGTTATATCCTTGGTTTAAATCTAATTTGCTAAAAACTTTGGCACCGTTCAAGTCACCAATGATCTCTTTGATTGTAAGCGTTACATGGCGTTCCCGTTTGCTGGCCTGATTTGCTTGACGCATGTCTACACATACGCGAACCTTTCCAGGAGACTTTGGTTTGGGTGCCACTACGATAGGCGATACCCATGGTGTGGGCCTTCGATGCGCTCGATAACTCCGAGTTCCTCGTCTCGCTTTAGTTGTTCCTCTAACTGCTGACGTACGTGAAACGGAACCCTGCGGTGAGGTTGTGCGACTGGCGGAACACTCTCGTCAATGTGGAGTTTAATCTGGTACCCTTTCAATTTTCCGAGTCCATGGAATAGTTCGTCGTATTCCTTGATCAGCTTCTCGGTTGTTGGGGAGCTATTATCATTGACGTTGTGCACCGCTTTCAAGAGTCCAAGTTCTTGCGATGTCTTCCAGCTAAGAAGCGAACCACCGGATCCCTGGACTACGTAGAATTTGTCTTCCACGCACTTCGTGTTGAATTTCAGGGCTGTCTTGAATTTTCCCAAGACTTTTAATGACTTGTTGGACTTGTAGGGATGTATCTTCACCTTTGTTGTTTGAAGCTAGGGACGCTTGGATAGGGCTTGGTAGTCTTTCTCATCTAACACTTTTACGCTAGCACCAGAATCAGCCATAATTGTCATTGGAGTGTCGTGAATGACAATGTTGAACATTGGTTGCGATTGTTCCTTACCGGTACTGTTCACAGAAAATGCATAGCCATCTTCGTCTGAGTCTTCGGAGCTGGAGTTTTCATCAACAAGGTTTTGAACGTTGTGCCGTGGCTTTTGAGTTTTAATATCCCGTTTCTTGTTGAGTTTCTTCGATCTACACACGGCTTCATAGTGGTTTTGCTCTCCACAGCCTCGACAACTTTTTTCATAGGCAGGGCACGACGATTTTCCGCCCGGGTGTGGGTACCCTTACCACAGTTCCGGCATTTGCTACTTTCGCCGGGTACGAAATTCCGGTCGGCTGTTTTCGCGCCATCA